AGACTTAAATATAGGGGTGCTTGATTTCTGGTCGTATTAAATCCTATTAATATGAAACTCCTTCTCCCTCCAGCTCTGTACTCAGGTTTTCCACCACAGTCTCAGACACTTTTATGAACAATAAACAGCTGTCCTTAATCCCAAAACATCTCTAATATTTTGTAACAGGTTCCATTTATTCATTCAATAAGCACACACACATCAGAGTTTGTCTCTCCATTTGCAGCTTCTGGGGACTACTAATGGAGCTAGTGTTCTTAGGGATAGGGTGAGATGCTTTTATCCAGAGCCAAGCTTTTTGGAAATAACATGTTTTGAAGATGTGGTGTTGAGGGCTGGACTGAAGGGAGAGGCATGTTCAAAAATGTACCTTGCTGGAACCGTTTTTCCAAGATCTCCTTACAGCACCTTTAAGGTTACAAAAGTCTTGGAAAAGCTCTTTACTTTTACCCAACATGAGAGTTTTGTGATACCAGAGACCCATTTTAATAGGCCATCAGTTGGGACTGAAGCAGCTGATCTTAATTTGCACTGACGAGGAGCAGGGTTGCTTTAAATTCACTGAGAGTTTTCAGCTGCTGTCTTGCCCTTCCATGCCTTTTTGCACCTTCCCTTCTTTACGTGTTCAATACTTTTTCCATGTGTCCTTCCACATTATCACACATAACTTCACTTGTAGAGGTGAACTTATTATTTTCAATATAGATTTTAATGAAAGCAAAATTACAGCTGTATTTTGTCGTTGTGTTTTGGATCCACGTCGCCAAGGAAAATCCACAACAGGAGACATATTTGATAAATACAGATTTATTTTGACCCTTACCTGCAATATGGAAACATAAACACGACTTTGCCTTTTAATAAAATGCATGTTGGTTTAATTTATTCAAATGTATTGAAAGTATTACTGATTGATTCTACTGAATGAAAACAATTTAAAGAATATTATTGAATGTGGTTAGTCTGCCCTATCTATTTCTACAAAGCATGATGAAAAGTTTGTGCTCAATTGTAAAGTAATACTCTGATCATCTGCAGGTATGATGATGTCAAAGGTTTCTGGTGTCAGCGAGTGGAAGGAGCCCGGTCCAAATGTCTGGGGAAGAGCAAAGGAAGGAAGTATCCAGGGATGAGTTTGGAGGTAACACACTGCATACTTTAAGCCGGGCATACACTGTACGATTTGTTGACCTTTTCGGGCCGACTTTCCAGTCGTGCGAGAATTTTTCGTTTGGGCTGACTTTCATTCTGATCAACGTGCGTTGTGTAGTGTACAGGGTGTAATGAGGGCAATCAGCCTCTCACGACCACCTCCTGATTAGGAATCTTAAGGTCGGGAGAGAATCAAACGTTTGAAATTAAGTCGGCTGTCGTGTGCAAATTGTTCAGTGCACATGCGCAAACAAGGATTCTTCTTCTTCCTCTCAGATGTAAACACAGAAGCATGGCGGGGGTGCAATGAGTGAAATGGAGTTCTTTCTGTAAAATTGACAGACCGTAGTAGCCACATTTTCTCAGCCATGTCTTTGTCCAAATACGTCAACACCTTTTCTTTTTAGGGCTTTCCGCACAAAATTGCACAAACTGAAGCACGTTTCACTCTAGTGAGCTTCATGTTCCTCTTCTGCTCGTTTGGCTTCTGGATAGACGAGTCATAGTAGCGCCATCGCATTGCGGAGCTCAGTCCATTGTGGGTTTTAGACGTACAATGTCAGCAGGTAGATTGTATCAAAGCAAACAATTTGACAACTTTTAAACCCTGCGTTTCATCATAGAGTATGAGCTGTAGCTTCATGTAACAATCGAAAAAATCGTACAGTGTATGCCCGGCATTAGACAAGTGGCTTTATTTATCTATGGATCTTTGACACTGTTCATCTGTTATGTCCATTATTACATTATTCACAAAACTGCTTTGTGCCAATCACAAGTTGAATAGGGGGGAGGGTTAGATGATGATTGGTTAAATGATCAAGCTTCAGCCAATAGCGGCTTGTAAATGTTAGCAACAGAAGTAAAACTTTATGGAAGCAAAGTTTGTGAAGCCCTAAGAAATAACTGATGTAGGACTTAACAATAAATGACGCTGGGATGTATGGTAGTTATTTATAAAAAAAGGGGGAAGTCGGTCGGTTTCTTTTTTCTTTATGTGAGGAAATGATGGATAAGATGCACTGCAACTATGTTCTGAAAATGATTAAAAATGTCTAAACAGGTGTATTTACCCTTAATTTGAGTAGGAAAATAAGATGATTTGCCAATGGAATGAGCATTTTTTTATCCTTAAAGATAATTAGATAATATAAAAATTATTAATTGATCATATTAAAATAAGAGACTGCAATTGTTTTGTTCTATTGGCAATATATCTCAGCTCCTCTATTCAAGAATAAAAAAGACCTTATTTTAAGAAAAAAACAACTTTTTTAGATTTACATTGTTTGCATTGTGGTAAGAAAGTGTCCATGCTTTCCATCACACTACGTGGTTACCATGAGCAACAGCCACAGCCGACGTACCGCCATCAATGACTGACCGTGTGTCTGACTTAAAGAGCAAATTGCAGACAAAATCCGAATGAAGTGAAGTCTAATGGGTCATAATTGAAAGGTTAATTTAAGATTCAAAGTTTTTTGGCTGCTCTAACAAACTGAATCTACCTGTAAGGTCACTTTTATTAGCAGTGTTTCTAAAAAATGCTTTTCTCTTAACAAGTTGCGTCATTTGACGTCATGTGTGAGAGTCGGATAGCGTTGCTTCAGCTCTGTGTGGAGAGCTGGTAGTTATCTGGAAGAACTGATGTGTAATAGAGTTATGTAGAAGTTTGAGATTGCCTAATTAAAAGATTAAGAAAATATCACAGCAAAAAAAAAACAAACAAAAAAAACTCGATGTTGCAGAGGCAAATGAAGAAATGTGCTGGAAAATGGTCTTGTGCTATTTGTGTCTGATCTCATGTACAGGAGGTGGTAGG